GCTCCATTAGAGAAAAGCTTAAATGTTTTATTAGAGGAAAAGAGCTACATGTCTTCTTACTCATCACGCTTTTAATTGTGAAATAATTTGCTTGATTTTTCCATAATAAAAAAAAAAAATGCCTTAAAGTTTGAAACCAATATGTATGATATTCCAAGCAACTGCTGTTTTATTTTTTAACTCAAAAATTATATTTTTATTGCTATGATAAAACTTTTTGCTATTGGAAACAGATGGTCTGATGATGTATGCTCTATGCTGCATGATTTTAAATAATCAATTTTCTTGAATGTAAAGGATATTAAATTGATTTGCAACTTATGTGCTAGGCAAAGTATAAAATGTAAAGTTTTAGATTGATTTTATTATCTAGTTCATAAAACTGGAAAACTTGACACCATTACTGTTTCACTACCAACTTAACTCTGTTACATTCTGTATATGCATGAAATTTTTTAGAATGTGACAGAAACATGGCCAATGCAAATCAAAATTAAAAAAAAACTTTCATATAATTATTTATTTGAATTTTTTTTATGAAAAGAAGGAGGAGGGGGGACAGAAAAACCCACAGATGTCCAAAATGAATGTCTTGTTTTCAAAAGAACACTGTGAGTAAATAATTCTTTTATTTTTATTTTTAGTCCTTACACAAAAATTGCATTTATATATTGTGCAAGGACTAAAATGTCATAAAAATATAATTTTTTATATAACTTTTAATTAAATATATTATTATTAAACAGATATCTAATGTCACAAAACAATTAATTTCATTTTTCTAAAAATGAGAAAAATGTGACTTTGGTTTTACTTGTGTGGTCTACATATAAATGTATATGTGTGTGTGTGTATATATATATATATATATATATATATATATATATATATATATATATATATATATATATATATATATATATATATATATATATATATATATATATGTATATATATATATATATATATATATATATATATATATATATATATATATATATATATATATATATATATATATATATATATATATATATATGTATATATATATATACTACTGTGATCAAAAAGTAAGGTAAATTTTTTTATAAAATGAAAAATCTTTATTTATTCTTCCAAATCTGTATCGTCCCCATCAAAATAATCCCCCCCGGCCCCAAAGCACTTTTGCCAACGTTTTTTCCAGTCTTCGAAGCATGCCGAAAAGTCCTCGGTAGGGATAGCCTTCAATGTGCATGCTGATTCACGTTGGATCTCTTCAATGGACTCAAAACGATTTCCCCGGAGTGGTCTCTTGAGCTTTGGGAACAGCCAGAAGTCACACGGTGCTAAGTCGGGCAAATACGGTGGTTGTGGAGCAACATGGGTAGAGTTTTTGGTGAAAAACTCACGAAGAACCAGTGCTGTGTGCGAAGGCGCATTATCGTGGTGCAAAATCCAAGGGTTATTGGCCCATAATTCCGGTCTCTTTTTGCGAATAGCTTTACGCAAACGTCGCATAACGCTTAAATTATATTCCTTGTTGACAGTTTGGCCAGTTGGAAGGAATTCGTAGTGCACGACACCACAATAATCAAAGAAAACAGTCAACATGACCTTGATTTTTGAGCGACTTTGACGTGGTTGCTTCGGTCTCGGCTCGCCTTTTTTACGGTATTTACTCGATTGGTCGGTTGTTTCAGGGTCATATGGGTAGACCCAAGTCTCATCGCCAGTAATAATTTATTTGTAGACGTCTTGATAGTCAGAAAGCATTGCTTCACACGCTTTAACGCGACGCTCTTTTTCAAAGAAATTGAGAAATTTCGGCACCAAACGTGATTTGAGTCTTCTGAGGCCCAAATGATCCTTCAAAATAGCTTGCACCGACCCAAATGATATTCCAGCCATGTCAGCAAGGTCTCGAATGGTTAACCGACGATTTGCAAGCACCAATTCTTTGATTTTGTTGATGTGGCGATCATCTATCGAAGTCGATGGTCGTCCGGAGCGTTCCAAGTCATTAACACGTTCTCGGCCTTCTTTGTACCACTTGTAAACATTTTTTTGAGACATAGTATCTTCACCAAAGGTCTTTTGCAACATTCGATACGTTTCAGCAGCAGAAATATCATTCCGCAAACAAAATTTAATAACACTTCTTTGCTCAACAAAATTAGACATTGTGAAAATCGCCGAATGCGCTTTTGGTACTTCAGAAACAAGCGTAAACAAAAAAAAATGATTATGAGTTTGACATGTAATTTGGCGCAAATGTTAATGACATTCCTACCAACTTAAAAATTAAAAAGATTGGACAATTCGAATAAGGCGGGAAGTTTAAATTAAAAATTCACCTTACTTTTTGATCACAGTAGTATATATAAAACTTTTATTATTCTTTACTCTATGCTCAAGACATCTGCCAACCATTGAGAACTACAACGCTTGTTAACCCCGAACCTTGGTTGACGTCATTTATTCAGAGCCTTCTAAAAGAGCATTAGCAACTTTATTCTTCTGGTCACTATTTTGAGTGAAAAGTACTTGCAAATTGAGTCATCAAACTAATCACCAAAAGAAAACCTATTTATAACTGGCGCTTCTCTTCCGAAAAAACAAGTTTTTGGCAAGAAGTCAAGCTTGCCAAAAAAGGACAAATTACTCATTCTATCTCTGAGACATTAGCAAACCAATCGAACAATCATTTCCATAATGTTTGGAGCAATAAGAAACAACCTAACCTCACGTTCTTTATCAACCGTCAAGCAGACCTACCTATTACCCCCATTTTTACCATTAATAACAATCTCAACCAACTTAGCAAACTAAAGACAGGATTATCAGGACCTGACGATCTCAACCCAATTTTACTTAAATCTATATCCTGTTTAATCACCTCATAGAAAACAGTTACTTCCCTGATCAGTTAAAATTAGTGTACATAACACCAATTCCTAAAATGTACTTCAGGGTAGTGTTCCCAATCTTGTTCATTCTTTTCATTTCCGATATAAATATCTTCCTCCCACCTGAAACTATTCTCAAAAAATATGCATCCTGACCTAAATTATCTATGATAAAGTACCATTTTAAAGGCCTTAGTTGTAAACCTGGAGAAGCCAATCCAGCTCAAAAATTTAACACTATTTAAACTTATTGTTAATATTATCACCATGATCAGTTGTAATTTGGATGATTTTAAATAAAGTTTTCTTAAAAACTACTTAATCAATTGTAATGATTTTTTTTTATGATGCTTACATAATTTATTTTTTGTGGGCGGGTGTAGTGTTTTTTACTTCGTCTTTGTAATCTCAAATAAAGAATCCATTGTTTTTATATTGGGATCGCCCATAAATTACGTAACGCAAAATTAAACTTGCCGACAAAAGACAATGGATTAAAAGTTTTTCCTTGCAGAGTCTTTAATTAAACCAAGTATATAAACAACCCTGCAAGTCAAGCGAAACTGCCGCGCAGAAGAGCAAAATGATCTCCTTACATTTTTAAAATAAGTTTTGTGTTGCGTAATTTATGGACGATCCCATTGCATGATTTCAAAAGTATGTAATGTTCCAAAATCAACTGTTAAAACTATTATAAAGTGTTATCAGGAAAACAAAACCTTAAAAAGAAAATCCAGAAGCGGTGGAAAATCAAGATTTGTTTCCAAAAAGAAGGCAAAATTAATTGTATAGAAATTCATCGAAATCTGACTCACAACAAGATTTAGCTACGAAGTTTAAATGCAGTAGATTTTTTATTCAAATATTATTCAATAAAGAAAATCTTAAAGCATATTAAAAAAAAAGAATATCAAAAAGTTCACTTGATGGAAAAATCAAGGTGGGAGGGGAGTTAAAAGACAGAGGGAAGAGGGGGAGCTAAAAATTTGGTTTTAAAAGCTCTTCTTTCATAACAAATCAATCTTTGACTTTGATCTATATGTGACTGAATCCTTGAAAAAGCAACTTCTTCCTCTAATTAAAAACCACACACAACCTTAATTTAGCCAGATCTGGCATCAATCCACTATTCCAAAAAAGTAATGCAGTGGTATAAGAAAAATACCAAAATTTCAATTTTGTAATCAAAAAGTCAATTTTGCCCAAGACTTAAAATTGAGTTAATTTGGATGCTAATTCACCAAACTGTCCTGAACAGTGTCCCACCTTTAGGTGCCCCAAGAAGACCTTATGGTCTTATCAAATTTTACTTTTAGTTTTCTAACTTATCTTTATGTTGGAAATGAATTTCAAACATTTACTTGACATTATTAGAATAAAAAGATAAAAGTATATATAACTAAAAAAGTTTATACAGTTAATTCCCAGTAAATCAAGCTTTTGTTATCTCAAACTGTTTCATTTGGTCCCTTGAAATTGTTTAACTAATTACTATTAAAATTCTCCGGTTATGTTGAACCTTAGATAACTTAAACTTTATTAAGTCGACCCATTTTTTTGTTCTCTTTCAGAAAATTTCTTTGGATAACTCAAACTTTTTGTGTGAGAAAATTAAGACATCAAAATAACTCGATAAAATCTTTTTTTTAGAAGTCATTCTATATAAAACACAAATAACAGTAGCCTAATAATTCAATATTTTTTGTTGTATTTAGGTCTGAATAGAATAGATTGTTATCAGATGCAAAAAAATGTTACAAAATAAATCATAATAAAATAATATAAAAAAAGCAATTATAAAATTGTTTTATAGTTTTAATAAATTTCTTAATAAAAAATTGCTAGCTTTTAGACACAATTTCACTACTGAAAAATAAGAAAGTCATTGTGTTGCCAAACTTTTACCAAACTTTTTTAATATTATCTTTTTAGTGTACAGCGTGAATTCAATACATAACTTCTTTCCCTGAAACATTTTTCACATTTTTATTGGTATATAATGCTGTATATTTAATGTTGATACTTAAATGTATATAATGTTTAACTTTATATATATATATTTTAAAAGGTTACAAACTTTTTATATATCTTTTATACATTTTTTAAAAATAGGCTATGGAAGAGTCATGCTTCAGAAAAACTTGGTCCTGTAAGTATTTTGTTTTTTGTTATTCTTATTGTCTTCTTTATTTTACGTTTTTATTAAATTCTGTTCTTATTCTTTATTTAGTATTAGTGTCAGTAATAATTTTCAATTAATGTTCACTTTAGACAAACCCACGTCAGCGTCGTGATTTAAAATACAGTAGTAAATTAAAGAATCAATACCAACATCATCCTGAAGTGAAGAGAATTCTGAAGTACGTTCTTTAGTAAAAAAAAATGTTTTGATTTCTTTAAGGTCTTGTATCCAAAAGACATTTATTTAAAAACAGTATCTTTATTAACATAAGTCAAAAACATTTTTTAATAAATTTATAGTTATACTATAAATTTATTAAAAAATGTCATATATATATATATATATATATATATATATATATATATATATATATATATATATATATATATATATATATATATATATATATATATATATATATAAATCAAAAACAAGTAGTTACAGGATGGCGGTTTATTGCAGAGGAGGCCCATTAAAAACAATTTAAGTTTTTGACTAGTGATTAATATAGTTTTATATTTAAAATATTATTGGGGGAAACTGGGGAAAAATAGTGTAATGGGGCAAAACGGTTTTTTGCAAGTAGACCTTGTTCTGAGTGTGGAAACAACTAAATAGTGGTTGATTTTCAATTATCATGCGACAAAATGCTAGTTGCATTAGTTCAAAATTTCAGCAAAATTTGTCTTGACTAAGTAAACATGACTTAAAATGAACTTCAATCTAATTTAAATGTCATATTATATCATTTATATATATATATATATATATATATATATGTCATATTATATATAATATAATATGACATTTATATATATATATATATATTAGGGCTGTACCGGATTTTGGCTCCGGCTCCTGCTCCGGCCGAAATCCGGCCATTTTTACAAATCCGGCTGCGGCAAAAATTTAGCAAATCCGGCATAATTTTAGCCGGAGTTTTGAACTTTGTCAAATATTTATTACATTTTTTTTGCCCGTGTTTACATGTATACCTAATATTTTATTTATAAAAATCAATTATTTTTGTAATTCTATATTTTATGAACCTCATATTTGTTTTGGGATTTGTATTTATATTTCTTTATAATTTAATAAGCTAAGTCTAATTTAAAACAACAACGCAACAAAAAATTCTAAAGGGAAGACACACGATATTCTAGAATGATGCAGGTATAAAGACTATGATGTCAACCCTAATCAAGTGATTGGATGAGCGTTTTAAAAGCATTGAAAAGAGAAACCTCTTTATATACTGACGAGGCTGGTTGACTCACAATTTAAAACTAAATTCTCCTCATTACAGGCAACACTGACAGCTGAAAAAACAAGATTGAAGTCAATCTGAGTATGCTGAACAGAAGATTGACAAAACTGAAGAAAATCCACCAAAATAAGCCGGGCTTAATAATTTTTTTACATCATCATCATCATTACTCTGGCAATTTATTGATAAAATTATTCAGTCTACGTCCGCTGGTGGCAGGGCACATAAACAACAATTACTAAAAGGCATTGAAACTCAGCTAAGGAAATATCCGAAAGAACCAGAAATAAATAGACACAATGATCCACTACAGTGGCGGAGTGACAAAATCCCGGAAAAAAAGTTCAATAGAATTACTATAAACTTTTAAAACATATGGCCTATAGAATTTCTTTAGAATTTCTATTAATTTATATATAGAAATTGCTATAAAACTTTTTAAATAACAACAATGAAGTTTAACAGAAAACAGCAGTCACTTGGTATTCTGAATAGTCCACATTGTTGACCATGCTCAACACCAATTAAGGATGTACAGGATTTTGGCTCCTGTAGTTTTGTTTTGAAATCCGGCTCCGATTCCAGCCGGATCTGTCAGTAAAAAACCGGCAAATCCGGCTCCGGCCGGATTTGAAAAAATTAAATCCGGTACAGCCCTAATATATATATATATATATATATATATATATATATATATATATATATATATATATATATATATATATGTCATATTATATTATATATATAAATGTCATATTATATTATATATAATATGACATATATATAAATATATATATATATATATATATATATGTATATATATATATATATTAATTTTATCATTTTATGTGATACGCTGAAACTCATATTGCATTTAACTAATATAGAACTAGGTATTATCAAAGCTTTTGAATTTTGAAATATGTGAACTTTTCTTAGCTGTGGCACTGTTTTTAGCAATATGTCACCTATAGGTCATAATGGGGTATGAAATATGGGGCATAATGAGGTATTTCCCAATCGTCGACTTATTATATATGGCATTTTTATGAAAATGAAATAATTTTTTATCCTGAATACATCTGTGTGAATCCACAGCCACTCAGTTAAATTCCTTGTGCCATGGGCTTTAATTGAATGGCTGTGGATTTTTTTTTTCTTTACTGGAAAATGTTGTGGATATAAACAAGGGAAATGTTAAAAGTACCTGGAATTATGATGAAACAGGTATGGGAGGTACATGCGACCCATGATGATTTTTACTCATAAACAAATGAAGCCAGAATTAATGGATGGAGCACCACCAGGTGCCTGGGCTAAATGTCACTCAAGCAGATGGGTACAAAAAGAATTGTTTATTGTTTGGTTAAAAAGTTTTATTCAGAAAATCAGAAGCCAAAATAAGCGCTCTAGTTCTACTTATTTTTGATAAATATCAAAAATCAAAAAATCACAAATCACACTAAAAATCACAAATTTTATATTTTATTATCATAAAATCTCACACTAGAGTATTGAACTGGTTAACATTGAAAGAGAGAATAGTATAATTCTTCTGTGTTTTCCTCCTCGTTGCATACATCAAATGTAGCCCTTGGATTTGGTTTTTATGAAGCCACTCAGCACTTACTTTGACCACAAAATCAAGTATTGGTTGAGAGCAAATCCTGGGTGCGTGGTCACTAAATTTCAAATAGTAGCTGCACTTTTTGGCTCAGCCTACTTGGAAGCTGCCACAATGACAAATGCCATAAACAGCTTTCAAAAAGCAGGCATATGGCTAGTTAATAGAAATGTTTTTTTTGAAGCAGACTTTTTGGTAGCAGAAAGTAGTAATGTTAATTTCATTGAAACAAACCCTGTTGCTGATACATGGTTGTGACATGGTTGTTACTAGCCACCTCTGTGCTTTTGTCAGCCATCTATCTGTAAGTACCAGTCATTCAATGGTACCTACAACCCAAATATATTCTTTTAGCAGCAATCTTAATGTTTCTAACGTCCATACAATTATTTCTACAAGTTAATCATTTGATTTTACCAGCATAATTTCCACTTCTTCCACTTCTACGAGCAATGTTAATTTAACCACTTCTACGAGCAATGTTAATACCACATTATTTCAAAATGTCCAAAGTTTATCATTCCAATACCAAAGCAGTCATTGCAAAGGAGACTACCAAGACAAAGGGGGAAAAACTGCAATCCTGACTTCCTATCCAAGGCTCAAAATGACAAACAAAAGTGGTTATGCGTATAAAAAAACGAAATTGCTCAAGTAGATTGATAAAACACTGCATCTAAAAAGATAAAAGTTTAAGTCTACAGCATATTATTAGTTTTGTTACATTGTATACCACCCTTAACATTGTATACCACCCTTAACATTGTATACCACCCTTAACATTGTATACCACCCTTAACATGGGGCAAAATGGTTTTTTTTTTCAAAGATATTTAAATGTTAAATAGTTTTTTTTTATTTAATGCTATTGACTTTCTTTTTTCAGGTAGTAGTTTGTGTTTTTATTTGTCATTTAAAAAAAGTTGTTTATATTATACCCCAGTTTCCCCAATTTATATCACAAAGTAATATTCTATTATATATTTTTTGATATTAAATTGTTATTATTATTAATATTATTATTAAAAATATTATAATACTACATATAGACATCGACATGTTCCCAAACTAATTCACAAAGAAGCTAAAGAAAAGAGAATTATGCTAGACTCAATTAAACGAAAGTATGAATTTATTTAATATTTATTTAATAAATTTAAGATTTATTTAATAATTTTTTTTATGTTGATTTTATTTTTGTTACCATTTTTTGTTATGCATTGAGTATTACTTACTTACTTAAAAGCATTTACTGAAAACATTGTATTTCTTTCATTTCTTTAGTTTATTTAATATCGTCTTCTTTTTTTTTAATGAATGAGTGTATTTGTTTTTAGGGAAGAAAACATGCGCCTTCACAGTAAACCAGGCTCAATGCCAGTTATACCGGAAAGAAAGAAACATATTGTTACCGTAAAAAAATAAAATATCAATTCTGGCTGTTAGCATAGCAATGACCTCATTAAAATGTAAGAAAATGTGCAAAGGGAAAAAAGATAACGCTATTATATTTAAAGAAATAATACAAATAATTACTATACCATGTTGTATTTTTAATTTGTTTTATAAATTCAAAGTATAAATATTTATTTGCAATTCTTTTATCATCGTCAACAACAGATTTTATTAAATAGACATTGTGTTTATTTGTGTATCACTGATTTCAGTGTCCTCAAATTTATTGATTTTTTCCGATCATTATTAATAACGTTGCTATTAATAACGTTACTCTATATATTAGTTTTTAATAGTTTTTTCTACTTTTTTATTACATTATTTCTTTACTATTTATATTATTTGTTTCGCATTTCAAAAGCAAAAAACAAAAAAATTTATAGGAATATTTTGAATGGAAATAAAGTCTTCCAAGATACTTGTGGTTGGGGCTGGCTTAACAGGCGCTTTAACATGTAACTTTATTCGGCAGAGGCTGAAACAAACTGTGTCCATAGAAATATGGGAAAAAAGTCGTGGAGTCGGTGGAAGAATGAATAGTAGTCGTATGAATACTTCCTCGAACCTTTCATGTGATATGGGTGCTCAATATCTTACAGTTACTAAGGAATACATGTGTAAGCATCAAAGGTATTTATCTTGTTTTCGATTGTTTTTATTATTTTAAACTTCAACCACTTTGAACTGACAATGACAGAGTTCATTCACCATATTTTTGGATAGCACCATGTATTCACGCACGATACTTTTGGATAGCACTATGTATTCAGTCATCATGTTTACACTAATCATGTTTTCACCGATTTTGTTTTCACTAAACATGCTTTTACTAAATTTCTCTAAAGATTTTTTCAATCATTTTATAAGTCATCTTTTCACTAATTGTATTTTTCATTACTTTTTTTATTTATTTTTTGTTACTTATACACATAAACATCCAACAGTGTTTACAATGAGCTGCTCAACGAGAAAGTTTTATCTCCACTTGAAGGTTTAGTCGATGGAATGAAGGATTACGGAGATCAAGTTAAACATTATGTTGCTCCTCGGGGATTAAATGCAATTCCGAAATATTTTATTAACAAAGCAGGTGTGTAACAAGTATGAAATCAAAAAAAGTTCTATATAAATTGAAAAAAAAAATTTCTATATCAATTGAAAAAGTAACGAAAAAAAATAGTATTAAAAACTAATCGCGTTAATTTTATTTTGTTTTGTTTTTCTGTAGATTGTAATTTAAAAACAAACAATCTTCTTAAAAGCATCTTTGTATCTGACTCATTTGTTCGCGCTTCTGGCTTCAATAATTCAGATAAAGAATCTTTTGATGCGTTAGCTGATGTAGTTATTCTTACTATACCTATTCCCCAACTTCTAAAAATTCAAGGTGAGTTTGAAAGTCTACTTGAAGCACACCGAAGTCGTTTGGAGTTGGTACAATACTCTTCACGTTATGCTCTTGGATGTTTTTATCCGAATCTTAAGAAAATAGAAAATGTTGAATGGTGTTCAAAATACATACCAGATGGATCTTCTATTCGATTTCTTTCTATAGACACAAAAAAGCGAAAGTCAAGTAACAATTTTATTTATGTTAAAATATTTAAATGATATTAGACTAAATGAAAAAGTGGAAATGCTATTTTCAATGAGTTTAAAATTAAGTTATTAAAAAAATTAGGTTAAGTGAAATGTTATCTGAAATTTTTTCTGATTTTTTCAAATAGATGAAGCTGAAGGCACTTCCATTGTTGCACATGCGTCTGTACCTTTCAGTATTGAGCATTTTGAAAGTCGTTTCGATGATGTAGAAGTATTAATGAAAAACCGACTGTACGAAATAATACCTAGCCTTCCAAAAGCCGAATCTACGAAATTTTTACGTTGGCGTTATTCACAAGTGACTAAACCTTATGAAGGAAGACCAGGTTGTATTGTTCTTAAATTGTCACCGTTGATAATATGTGCAGGTGATGGATTTTCAAACTCAAACTTTGATGGGTGTGTTGATTCAGCTGAAGCTGTTCTCAAAGTGCTGCATAGTTACTATAGTTGATTTTACAAATACTTTCTTTTTTATATATTAACTGTTTGCGAAACTGACCTTTCAGTTAAATACACGCTAATATTTTTTATAGTTTTTTTTTATGTTCTATGCATATATATCTATATATATATATATATATATATATATATATATATATATATATATATATATATATATATATATATATATATATATATATATATATATATATATATATATATATGTATGTATTTTTTTTTTTTTCATGAAACATCCATTTAGAAGAAAGTTTTTAAAACGTTGAACTTGATTGCTTCATAATTTTTATTGCAGTTATCAGTGATACATTTAGCTATATGTAAAGTAAAAAAATTGCTTGATTCTTTTTGCCCTTTTTTTTATTCTGACGCTTAATAAAATGTTAGTGGTCAAATCGCGCTGACGCCATTAATTTCACAGTTAATGTTATTATTTACATGAGGGGTGACATCTATATGCACGAGGATCTTTGAAGGCTTTCAGCGCTTACTTTTATACTCGCTCGACCGCATAGCTAAAACAGACTGCAAAGTTGGTCTAGACGCGAAATAAAAATTTTACAGCGTACGGGATTTTATTGAACAAAATTAACCAGCGGCGGATTGCAGAAAAACTTTCTTTTTATTATGCGATAAAAAGCGATAATAAATTGCGCTATTTTTCGATAAATTGCCTCAACAAATCGCTCAGTAATTCGCTCTATAAAAATGACGACATAACAATTACCTAACACACTGGCCCTCAAATAATTTAAGATCGATAAAAAATGTAAACAAAAACTGTTTACAGATCCTTTCAGAGCTTTTTCTGTAGATCACAATTCTGTTGAATTTTAAATCCTAACTGCTCGTCCATAATTTTTAACTAACTTTTAATTCAGTCATTATTTCAAAACATTTTTTCATCTGGCATATGGTAATAAAAAAAAACTGCGAGTTATAAAGATGTTATTAGTCATTAATTACTTCAGCTATCTGCAATATTTTTAAAAGTTATTATAAATCTACAATACGCAATAAAACCACGCCTTTGCATACTTTAAATCCAATTGGAGCAATTGCTAAGTGAACTAGAATCAAAAGAAGTTACAAATTATTTTAATGTTTTCATAAATAATGTTAAAAATAAACGAGATTTAAACAAAAAAAACTAAAATAAATAGAAAATAAAAGTGTTATAAATGTCTAGAACTAAATTTCACAACAGCTTTCATCAACAGCCTCCATCCCCCTTCCTCCCCCTCCATACAACACATCGGTGATTATATTAATTTGATATCGTGACCAATACTTCAAAAATTTACTATGGATTGACTCTCTGGCTTGTTCAGATACAAGTCCTAGTCCATAATCTGATTTTAGCTCACAAAGGCATTGTTCAACGTGTTCAAGAATAACGTGCATTTTTAGAGTTTCAGAAAAATCTGTTGCTAGAAATATTGTTTTCAAAACTTGCAGGTAATAAGATAAATTGTGAGAAACCTTTCCAGTTCTAAAACAACATTTGACAATATTTCCATTGCTTTTAGCAATGGAACTAAAGGCAACAACAATGACGGGCTAACTTTACCAAGAACATCAGCTTAAAGAAGTTTATCTGCATGTCGAAATAGCTTACGACATGCATTGCCCACTCTAGACAAAAATTACGAATTAATTAATTTAGAAGTTTAATTAAATTATAAATAAAAATTGTCTCTAAATTTTTACATATAATTTATAAATATAATTAATTAAAAGTAAAAATTGTCTCTAAATTTTTTATCAAATTCTTACCTGGTATTTTGAAATCAGTTTCAACTTTAAGGGCCATAGCATGGTTTTTTCTTTGCCTAAAAGTGGCAAAATTCCCTACCAAAAGACATGATTGACGAATCCTTGTATTAAATGTAATTCAGGAAGAGGGCATTAGCTATAACTAACATAGAATCTTGTTCGTTAAAAAGTGAAAGGTTCACTATAGTGAACCAAAAGTGCTCATAGTGTTTTGGGCACCCTTTTTTTTTATTCCTCCTAATAGCTGAAACCTAATAAAATGTACTTTAAACATATATTAAATGTTTATTATTAAACAGGTGATAGTACATTGATAACAAAAAATTACTTAAAACATAATGTTGTTTAATTTTACCGGTCGTAGCATTTTCTCAGATCACCATATGTGCGCAAACCTGCACATCTATTGTTCAAAGATTTCAAAAAAATATCTAAATTGCAGTTTACATCACATATATTTTCTTCCTCTAGTGTAATTAATCCTCGGAGTGATCGCAATTTAACATAGCAATGTGGACAAGGATTTGTTGAAGTGGCTGTCTGCAGACCATTAACAACCAAATTTAATTTAAAGTCAGCTATAAAAACAAAAGTAATCCCATCTAACCTAATTAGATTAAACAGCAGTTTCATGTTTTCATAAGATTTTTTAATTTGAGGTATTATATAAAGCATTATTAATTTGTGAACACCTGTTAACTTTCATTTTTTGGTAGCTTTTTTGTTAGAAAGGCTTAGTTCCTCTGACATTTTGAACTCTTCAGTTTCATTCTCTGTTAACTCATGATTTAGCAAAGGGTGATTACTTTCTTGTAAAATTGATTTTTAGAAAGCAAATTGTTTTCTTTGCTTTCTCTTTAGATACACCTTCTACATTAAACATATCTTGTGTAACCAGATATAAACTTTTCAAAGGTTTAAATTTATCTAATGCCTGATCTCTGTGATAGACAGGAACAGCCTTTTTACCTATATTGGATCTAACAAAATTAGTAAATTTCTCCTTACATTTGAAGATACTCCAGTATTTACCTGAAAGTTATTCAAGCCTTCTCTTGAAAAGTTAACTTTTTTGGCTATATCAGGTTTTAAAATGATTTGTGATTTGTATCTGCAACGATTTGTGATTGTATCTTTTGAATATAGTTCTAAATAGATATTTTTTACTTGAATCTTTTTGATTATTCGCCTTAGTTTTAAGGAATGAATTTATTAACTGGTCTTTTTCTTTTTCTAGTATAGCTTTGTTTAAAATTTTTTCAATATTTTCAGCTGATTTATTTTGCTTGCAATAATGGGACAGTCTTTTTCCAATTTCTGATTTGCAATACAAACAAATGATTATTGAACTTGCACTTTCATTACCTATAAATTTAATGATACCTATAAATGAATAGAAATATCACTCTCTTTGTTTATTATTATATGTGTATATAAATTATTTCAAAGCTTATAATATTTACTTGAGCAAGATTTTAAAGAAACTTTCCTTTTTCCGGCAACAGCAAGTAAACCATTGTCTCAGTAATGTTAGAAGTCAATCTTCTTTTATAACCTCTTTCTCTAACGATGGGTTGATGACCAATATACATTGGTGTGATGCATATATAGCGATTGCATTGCCTATCTCCTCTAGTTCTAGTTTCTTTTATAAATAATATGTCTTCATAGTTTGGCATTTTAGGCAGTTTTCTATTTTCAGTATCTTTGTCTCGCTCATTCAATGTTATTCTGAATGTACCACATATACTAAAAAGATATTTGCTATTTGCAATGTCAAAAAATTTGTTCAGCTATCTTTTCTGTGATTGCAAACTGCTGAGACTTTTTTTTTGAAGTTATTTTTTTTCCACATGGTGCACACACTTGTACTCTAGATTCATCATGATTTTATTAATTTGTTGGGAATATCTTAAGTATAATACTCAATATTTATTTTTAAAGACTTAATTTATAATTTTCCAAAAAATAAAGATGTCAAAAATAAAGACTTTATTTTTACATGCATATATAATATCATAGTTGTTACTTCTCATATTTGTTGTTATCTCTGTTTATAATTACTTGATAAGCTCAAAATTTTATTAATTTAGTTTAAAAGAGTTCTTAGCTATTAGTAATACAAAACTATTTTAATTAAAGAACAGAAATACACACAAATGATCTAGTTATCCTATCAAGTATTTAAACCAAACGTTAACGTTTTTAGGAAAAAATAGTCGATTTGAAAGTTATTTAAAAATCTTGGACAAGCAGCTAGGATTTTAATTTCAACAAACTTTTAATGTAAAAAAAAAGTTCTTAAAGGATCTGGAAACTGTTTTTGTTGACATTTTTATCGATCTTGAATTTGTTGAGGACCACTGTGCTAATTATATATCGCATGTAAATAAGTGGTGTGTGTATATGTATGTATGTATGTGTATATGTATACATGGATGTGTATGCCTGTATGTGTATGTTTGTATATATTTACATGTGTGTGTATGTGTATGTGTATGTATATATATATATATATATATATATATATATATATATATATATATATATATATATATATATATATATATATATATATATATATATGTATATATATACACATATATATATTTAATATATATATATATATAATATATATATATATATATATATATATATATATATATATATATATATATATGTGTGTGTGTGTGTGTGTGTGTGTGTGTGTGTGTGTGTGTGTGTGTGTGTGTGTGTGTGTGTGTGTGTGTGTGAGTGTGTGTGTGTGTTTGTGTGTGTGTGTATGCGAATATGTGTTGGTGCATATAATATATACATATATAATATACATATATAATATTATTTAATGTGTGTATATGTGTTTATGTTTGTATATGTGTATGTATGTGTTTATGTATGTGTGTATGTATATGTACGTGTGTGTATATACGTGTATTTGTGTATAGTATATATGAATCTACATATATGGGTGTATATTATGTTTGTATACAATTATTGTATACATACCTATATTGAATACAGGGGGATATAAGTATATGTGTTTATATGTTTGTGAAAGTAAGTGTGTCTGTGTATTTGTAAGTGTATATTTGTATGTGTCTGTATATGCGTGTATGTGTGTGACTAATACTAAATTATTATTTTTTTTTTTTATGATTATTGTAATTATTTTTATTTCTGCCATTTTATTTTTATTGTTATCTTTTTACTTTTATCATTGTATTGTTATTATTGTTACAACAACAACTTTTATTATTATCATTATTAGTATTTTTACTCATTCAACTTTTAATGT